GGAGGGAGGGATGAGCGGTCTTTGTAATATTTTCAAACGAGTCTATGGGGGGACTAAAATTTCAAATATTAGCACTGTTTTGTAGTATTTTACCATATTGAGTTGTAACCTTGCACATATTTTGTATAAGTTTAGGAAGTCTTCAGTAACGTACCGTAGTCTTGCCCAAAAATTGGGTTGCTAATCCTGCATTGGCATGTAGTCTTTCTTTTGGTTTAATGCACAGTTGGCTCTATGAAGAGCAGCCCAGATCGTTCTTGACTGATTGATAGTAAGAGCGAAGCAATGTTTCACTTTTGAGTGTGGTTCAATGAATATGGAGAGGAACTGTTAAAAGAGTCTGCTTGGTTTGTTTCATTAGTGACAATTTGCACCTACATACAGCATCAGTCTTTAATGATGACCGCCTATACCGATGGCCATCGCTTGGTTCAAAAGTCGAAATTCAAACTAACAAATAAACCGGTTTATTATTATGGACGGTTAGCTCGTACTAATATAAAATGTTAACTTTGTATATTATTGGCACTTGTAACACCTTGCATTAGGGTGATCAACAGGTCTTTGGTCCAATGATACTTTTNTGTGGAGTAGTTTGATAGCTTTGGGATGGGCAAACAAGCCTTTCAGTTTGGAGATCTGCTATTGTAGCTAGAGTGATGTGGATGGAAAGAAATTGCTGAATTTTGGAAGGAAAAGATGATGAGGTGTTGTTATCGAATAGAGTTAAGTTTTTGGCATCTCTATGGGCTGTGGGGTCCAAAGAGTTCTGTGGTATTCCCTTTTTGGTGCTTCAACATAATTGGCAAGATATTTGTAGTTGATGGACTTTTTGCTGTGATTTTCTTTTGATTTCTTTGTATTTGTGTCGGGTTTCTTGTTCACCGATTATGTACATTCTCAATCTTCTTTGAATGGAAAATTTTTTTTTATCATTGAAAAAAAAAATAAAGATATAGAATGGTCTCAAGAGGGCCGTTATCAAGCGTGGAAAGGATAGGAGCAAATGTGCTTGTGAGGGGCATGGTATGGAACAATCTTAAGAAAACCTTTTTCAGCAGACTGAATATCCAAGTGATCAAACATTGATGGAAGAGTGGGCAACCAAGGATCTCAGTCTAGGTCGACAAGTTTAATACTCCCCTCTTGGGTGGCAACTCAGTTATTTGTTCTTATAATTCTCAGCCTCAGGTTCATTCTTGCAACAACTTCTGTACACAACTTGGATCAGTCGTTGGTTCAATTGGAATTTTAAGAATTTAGGCTCCTAAACTGAAACTGCAAACTTTTTTTTTTCTTTATTTTCAAATTCCATTTGATGATTGAGGAGCAGATTTGCGATTAACCTCGTTA